GAGCTGTTAATGTTTTTGGAAGATTATCAGTTGTTGTGCCCTGTTCTTGTATGACATGGATGGCTGGTGAGCACTCATTAGAATAATATCTTTTAATATTTCTCTCAGAAACATGTGCTAGTTTATGATTTGTTTCTGAGATTGGAGGGATATTAATCTGAGTATTCCATTGTTGTAACAAGTCTCGACCCCACAGGTTCATAGCTATGTTAGCCATATATGGTTTTAATTTTCCTTTCTGTCCTTCTGGACCTATACATTCAAGCCATCTTACACTTTGTTTCACCCTAGATAATGTCCCAATTCCTAAGAGTTGAATGTTTACCTCCTGAAGAGGCCAAGTTGGATGCCAAAATTCTGGTGCAATTATGGTAATGTCAGCACCTGTGTCTACCAGACCAGACAACAAAACACCATTTATTTTTATTGTTAGTTTTGGTCTTTGTTCATTAATAGAAGTTTGCCAAAAAATTTTCTTTATGTTTTTTCCCGTATTTCCTATTTTCTCTGTTTCATCATCTCGACTAACATGATTTATTCCAATAGACATTTGGTTATTTAGTTGCTTTGAGTAGGGGTTTCCTCTACAACTGCAGGAAAGGTTTGAACTGGATTTACTGTGGGGGCCTGCCTGAGGCCCCTCTGGGAGTTTCCCGAAGCTCGAGGCAGAGGGTTACCCTGTTTGTCCCTTGTTGATCTACATTCGTTGGTCCAGTGTTTTCCCTTACCACACCTTCTGCATACTCCAGAAGGAAGGGGCATTCTGTTGCCAGTGTTCCTTGAAGAAACATTATTTCTAGGAATGACCTGTTTACAATCCCTTTTCAAATGTCCTTGCTTTCCACATCCAAAACATCTAACATTGCTCAAACCTTTTGAAATTGCTTTTCCTACCCACATATCATCATGGTCATAAGCCTCTACATTAACTGTATCTCTAATCCAATCTTCCAAAGGTGCAGATCTTGCCTTTAACGGCCTAATTATTCTTTTGCATGCTGCATTTGCATTCTCAAAGGCTAAAGATTCAATTATGATCTGACTAGCCTCTGAATTCGGGACCATTTTTTGTACTGCTGAAGTCAATCTTTGTAAGAAATCTGTGAAAGATTCTTTGGGGCCCTGTATAACCTTTGTAAATGACTCAGTTTTTTTTTCCTGGTTCTTCAACTCTGTCCCATGCATTCAAAGCTGCCGTTTTACATAGAAGTAGGGTTTGGACATCATATGAACATTGTGTTTGTACTGAAGCATATTGGCCTTCGCCAATAAGCTGATCCTGGCAGACTTGTATTCCGCTATCCCTCCATTGTCTTTCTATATTTTTAGCCTCATTACTGAACCACATTTTCCACTGGAGATTTTGTCCGGGTTCAAGAACAGCCTGTGCCAATTCCCGCCAGTCCTTTGGTATAATCCTATTACAAGTTGACCAGGTGTTTAACATTTGCTTTACATATGGGGAGTGCATGCCATAAGATGCTATTGCCTCCTTAAATCTTCGTAAGTCTAACATTTCAACTGGAACCCAAGTATTTTGTTCATTCTCTTCAACAGGTACGGCTACTGGATAAATTAAGGGTGATTGTGTGAAAACTGGCTTTCTTTCTGTAACCTGAGGATCCAATTTTGAAACAACTTCACTATTTATTTCTTCTGTCTGAATTTGAATTTCTCTATAATTCATTTTTACCGGTTTAACAAGTTTTTCTAAGACTGTTATCCTGGCACTTAAGTTGACGATCTTTTTAAATAGTAAAATGAGGATAAGAAAAGTAATAAACTGAATAATTCGATCAATATTAATCTTTTCATATAGTTGTTCCATTGTCAGAGTGCCTAAAATTTCAAACAAAGCCAATTTTCTTCCAATGTACACATAAAGCCCATTTTTTTTTAATGTAGAAAAAAATTCTCTTTTAAATAGATATGTTAATTGACTTACCAAGTCTGGGTAGAACAGTAGAATCCCAGGGAATTTCACAGCCACCTGGTGTTCGAGGTGTGAATCCAGCGAGAGAGAGAGAGAGAGAGAGAGAGAGAGAGAGAGAGAGAGAGAGAGAGAAAGTGTAGCCGCTTGAGCCGAGTCAAGCCTTGGCTTTACAGGCAGGGGCCCTGTTCAGCAGGGCAGGTCTGAGTTGTTTGTAGCAGTTGCAAGTAGCTCCAGCTGCGGGTCAGTCAGGCCTGGGCCCAAGCTAGGCAGCCAGGCCGCCCAGGCTGGAAACCGGATCTGCCGCCAAGCCAAGCCAAGCGGTTTTTAATGAATTCTTGTCACGTTGGGCGCCAAATGTAGATGTATCCAACCTTCTTATTAAATAATAAACACAGAACCAATGCAAAGAAGAAAGCCAAGAGATCAGAGCTAAGAGCTAAAACCTTACCCTTCCTCCTGCGGTGGTCCTACCTCTCCGAACCAGAGCTACCCCTGTGTTAAAGTCTTTATATAGAGTTCCTGTCCTGCCTTCTCATTGGTTGTAAACCCAACCACATGACCGCCTCCTCACAGCCTGTCTGTATAGGCCTCCAGGTTTTCCATGATTGGTATTAAGATTAAAGGCATGTGTATCCAATAATGGCTGTATCCCTGAACACACAGAGACTTACCCAGCTCTGCCTACCAAGTGCTGGAATTACAAGCGTACGCTACCACTGCCCTGCTTTCCTATGGCTTGCTAATAGCTCTGACCCCTGGGCAACTTTATTTATTAACATACAAATAATATTTTAATACAAATAAAATATCACCATATCTACCTCCATGGCATCTAATGCCCTCTTAAGGCTTCCACAGGCTCTTGCACACACATGGTTCTCATAGTCTCCCGTAGGCTGGCTCTCTCTCTCTCTCTCTCTCTCTCTCTCTCTCTCTCTCTCTCTCACACACACACACACACACACACACACACACACACACACACACACAAATAAATAAATCTTAAATGACTAATTAGATATTTGCCTTAACTGAGATTGCTTCAGGAATGCAGTACTTACGATTGGAAAACTAATCAGTGCTATTCCCCTATAGTAACTGACCAGGGGAGAAAACCACACAATAGTTTGTGAAGAGTGGCAGAATATTTTAAAAACTTGTACATTCACTGTGCTGGCTGGTTCTATGTCAACTTGACACAAACTCAATTAAGAAAATGCCTCCATAAAACCAGGCTGTAGGCAAGGCTGTAGGTGTTTTCTTAATTGGTGATTGATGGGGGGGGGGCGGGCTCAGCCCATTGTGGGTGGTTCTATCCCTGGCCTGGTGGTCCCAGGTTCTATTAAAAAAAAAAAAAAAAGGAGGTTGAGCAAGCCATGAGAAGCAAGCCAGTAAACAGCACTCCTCCATGGCCTCTGCATCAGCGCCTGCCTCCAGGTTCCTGCCCTGCTTGAATTGCTGTCCTGACTTCCTTCAATAATGAACAGTGATCTGGAAGTGTGAACCAAATCAACCCTTCCCTCCCCAAGTTGCTTTGGTCATGGTGTTTCATCACAGCAATAGAAACCCTGACTAAGACACACCTGACAAAAACTCTTAAACTGGAGGTCACAAGGAATGTCTCTTAAAGTATCGTCATTGTTGGGGCGCACAGGCTTGGTCAGTTGCCCTTGTTTCAAGGACTTAAAACACCAGTTAGTGTCTCATCAGATAAATCCCACATAGGCTCCCAAGATCCTCAGGCAATATCCATTGCTAACCAGCTCAGCCTACTCCCTTCGCATCAGCCCCCCCTGCTATGGGGCTCCCTTTGGTTGGCCACACATCACTCAGAGTCACAGTGGGCCCGTACAGTCAGGGCGCATCCCATCACCCACCAACCCTGCTTCATTCCAAACTCCCTCTGTCCTAGTTAGCTTTCTATTGCTGTGATAAACACCATGACCAAAAACAACTTGAAGGACGAAACAGTTTGTTTTTCTTATAGATTTAGTCCATCACTGAGGAAGCCAGGACAGGAACTCAAGGTGGGAACCTAGAGGCAGGAACTGAAACAGAGACCATGGAGGAACACTGCTTACTGACTTGTTCTCACTCAGCCTGCTTTTTTATACCACCTAGGACCACCTGCCCAGGAGTAACTCTGCCCACAATGGACCTTCCCATATCAAACATTTAATCAAGAAAATGTCCCACACCACAGACGTGCTCTCAGTCCATGTGATAGTTTGGACAACTGAGGTTTATAGCAAGCTTTTTTGTCAAACTATCTTGGACTGCCAGCCCACAAATAATGATGTGGAGACTTATTATTAATTATTATTTAGTATGAAAGCCGGGCCTTTGCCTAAGCTTTTCCCAGCTAGCTCTTATAACTTAAATTAGCCTTCTTTTTATTAATCCATGTTCTACCACATGGCTTTTACCTCTCCTTGGTACAGCACGTCCAACTTGCTGCAAGTCTGCTGGTGAAATCCGAGTGCCTAGATTTTTCCCTCATCTTCCTCTCTCCCCAGAAATCCCACCTGTCTTCTCCTGCCTAGCTACTGTCCACTCATGTTCTTATTAAACCAATCACAGTGACACATCTTCACAGTGTACAAAAAGATTATCCCACAACATAGGTTCCCTCCTCCCAGATAACTCTGGTTTGTGTCACGTTCACAAAACTAGCCAGCATCACCCCTCCTTTGTTTTCCAGCCCCAGAATCCTCTTTGGGGGATAAAACTATACAAATACAATGAACTACAGAAAAGCACCTCATAATGTTCATCAAGCACATCCTGATGCTATTTGCCCTGTGATCTGTTGCCTGAGCTCCACCCTCACAGCTTCCTCTCAATGAAGTACCACTCTAAGTTGTCGAAGACACTAGAGGGGAGGCACAGGTCACCAAGGTAAGTACCCTGGCCCTTCCTTGCAAGCTCTAGCCCACCAGGAGGTACCTCCAGGGTCTGCTCACACGCAGGATGAGGTGTAAACATTGAGCACCTGCCTGCACTGTGCGGGCGGCCGGGTGGCCCGTGTCTTTCCTCATGCACAACATCCCTATTCTCCCCTGCCTAGGAATGTACCAGGTGATCGAGGGCATCATCTCACCTGTTAATGACAGCTATGGGAAGAAAGACCTGGTGGCTTCCCATCACCGAGTAGCCATGGCCCGGCTGGCCCTGCAGACCTCTGACTGGATTCGGGTGGACTCCTGGGAGAGTGAGCAGCCACAGTGGATGGAAACGGTCAAGGTGCTGAGGTAACAGGAGTCATGATGTTCTGTATTAACATGTGCAGATTGAAAGGATGGGACAGATTGTTGGGGTGGCCCCAGCCAGAACTTCCTAGCTAAGACCAGAGTAATGCCTCTGCTTATAGGGAGAGAGACCTGTAGATCACCTTTTCAGAGGAGTCCCTGGGAAAAAGTAAATGAGCAGCTTCTAGCATTTAGGACTGTCTTGATTCCGAGGACCAGGCCCACTGTTACTATTTAGCAGCTCTGTGACTTTGAACATGTGACTTAACCTCTCTGAGACCTCTCTATCACTTGCAAAATGAAGACAATATAATTGAATGAAGATTTTAAAAACAGCTTTCCTGTCCTAGAACAACAAATCGCCTTCATTAACTGGGGCCTTTAGCTTCTCGTCATTGACAAGTTTGAAAACTGAACCTATATAATACTCCATCTTCCCTTCTTGTTTGCTAACATAGACTCTAATATAAAAGGGAAGGAGTTATTTTAAGAGCAGGGATAGTTACCCCAGATTGTCTTCTGTCTTTTGAATTCTTACTAGCATTCAGCATAGTCAGCACAGCTGTTTGAAAGCCCTGGACCGGCCCTGCACATTAGGATAGTGGTCACTGTCCTGGCAGCCGGAGCGGAGTAAAGCCGGCCTGCTTCATCACTGGTAACGGGCTGCTCGGCTAGAAGGCACGGTAGGGGTGTGACCTGTGCAGTCATACAGGTTCTGCACCTTCGTTAGGGAAGGGACGACAGAGCATTCAGCAGCTCCAGTGCCACCTTAGAACCTGCTGCCAAACCGAGAGGACACATGTTTAGTAACCGTGTGAGTACACAATCTCTTCCTTTTAGCCGTCCCTTGGCAGAAGCCTGATCTCACACTCAAACATGAACCTAGAACGTCCTTTTGAAAGGAGCCTTTCTCAGAAGCAAGGCAGCAGATTATCTAGCAAATCATTTAGCTTTAGTAAGTACTCAGTGACTAGGGCTTTCTCCCCATCCCTGTGAGAGCCACAGTTGCCTGGGATGTAGGCTTTGAAGCCCAGATTTAACTGAATGACTTGATGAAAGTGATTTGGCTTCCCCAAGCCCCAGTTCCTCACCCAATAAAATGAGAATAGCAGCACCTAACTTCCCTGGTTAGGACACCAGGTGGTTTTGATGAGATGGTGCAGGCAAATCAGCTGGTAGATGGTAGGTGCTAACTAATGTCATCTGCCCTCCCTCCATCTATAATGCTGGCTGTGGTTTGTCCATAAAACCAAAATGATGGCATAGTCATTTTGTGTTACTACTGCTTCTGCTGCAGAATGCCAGTGTGAGCACAGGTACTACTGTGGTGATATTTTTGTTTGTGATCTAACAAATAAAGCTTGCCTGAAGATCAGAGTGTGGAGCTAAGCCACTAGTTAGCCATAGAGGCCAGGCAGTGGTGGCACACACCTTTAATCCCAGCACTCAGGAGGCAGAGGCAGGCGGATCTCTGTGAATTAAGGCCACCCTGGGCTACACAAGATTGATCCAGTCTAGAAGGGAAACAGAGCCAGGCAATGGTGGCCCATACCTGTGATCCCAGCGCTTGGGATCTCATGCCTTTAATCCCAACACTAGGGAGGTGGAAACAGGAAGTAATATGGCTGGGTGGAGACAGGAGCTCAGGACCTTCATCTGAGGAGTTGGTGAGGTGAGGTGGCTGTGGCTTGTTCCTTTGTCTCTCTGATCTTTCAGCATTTACCCTGATATCTAGCAGCAGGTTTTTATTAAGACCAATTAGGATTCGTGGCTGCATACTACCAAATGCACTCTTTCTCCTTTTGCTGGTGCCCTTTGGTCAAGTGCTTCTGGACACTTTACACAAAGGACAGCAAACTTCCTAGGTCTACCACCCGTGTCCCACCCCAGAGGCTGTGATCTCATCAGTCTGGGTGAGGAGGGAAGAGATCCAGTATTTCAGTTGCTCCTAGCGATTCTAATATGTATTCAGGCTTGAGTCCCACAGCGCTGGTCACTGGATGAGAGAATCAGGATTCTGATCAGTGTTGAGATCCACTTAAAGAGCAATTGACACATGGTCACAACCTTGGCAGCCAAAATCACTTGGAAAACATTCTTTAAGGTTCTCTCCCAGGCCAAGGCTTTTGCTGGCATGGACACTAACCACAGGCATCTATTTCAAAGTCTCACATGATTTATGGTGTGCTGTTGTGGTTGAGACTTAGCCAACAGAGTCAACAGTTTCTTTCAACAGATAGCTGATTAAGATTTTTCTTTTTTTTCTTTTTCTTTTTTTTTTTTTGGTTTTTCAAGACAGGGTTTCTCTGTGTAGTTTTGCACCTTTCCTGGAACTCACTTGGTAGCCCAGGCTGGCCTCGAACTCACAGAGATCCGCCTGCCTCTGCCTCCCGAGTGCTGGGATTAAAGGTGTGTGCCACCACCGCCCGACAAGATTTTTCTTTTTAACGGTTGAAAATCAAGCTAAAATTGTAAAGTCAAGTGGTTTTAGAATCATGGTAGAAATCAGCCCCCAACATCTGCTGCATTTAGTGTCCTCTCGATGATGGTCACAGTGGATTTACAACACAGCATAACAAAGGTCACTGTGATATCCGTTCACTGAGGGACTCGGTGGAGACTCTTTATTCTGATGACGTTTACATTTTTGCTAATGCTGTAAAGTCTAGGCCAACTTTAATGAGAGAGCCTTTACCTGGGGTTGTCACCTTTCCTTACAGTGAGAAATAACTAAAAGGAGCCATTTAACAAGAAATCTTACTTTTGCTCACACTTTGAAAGGTTTCAGCCCTCATCTAGCATTGCTATTTCTGGCCTATTGTGAGGTAGAGCATCAAGGCGGAAGGGTGTGGTGGAGCCAACTTACTTATTCCCTGGTGGCCAGGAAGCAGAGAAACAGAGAGGAGCCCAGAATAAGGCCCCCAAGTCATCCCCCCAGTGACCTACTTTCTCCAATGAGACCTCACCTCCCAAAGCTTCAGGCATCTCCTAGGAATGCCATCCAATCACAAACCCGCCAGTAGCCATCACTGATTCGGTGAGAGCCCATCTTTCAATGACTGGATCTACAGCTAGGACCCAAGCCCTCAACACATAGGCCTTAGAGAGTACACTCAGTCACCAACCATGACAGTAACTTACCTTTTCCTCGTGTGTTGGGGAAGGCCTTGGTCAAAGTGCCACTTCATGTGGTCTGTCCTCCACCCACATCACCTCATGAACCACTACAAACATGACCTCATGTCTTCATTTTACAGATGAAAAGCCGGAGGCTCAGAGATGCTCAAATGATCACAGTTACACATTAAATATGCTAGAGGCAGAGCACCAGCCACTAGGCTCTGAAGCCATACCAGAGCCACCCTCTAAACAGAAGTTCTCAACCTGTGGGTCTCGGCCCACAAGGGTCACCTAAGACCATCAGAAAACACAGATTTTTACATTACAATTCATAACCGTAGCAAAATTACAGTTACAAAGTAGCCACCGAGTAATTTGATGGTTGGGGGTCAGCACAGCATGAGGAACTGTATTAAAGGGTTGTGGCCTTAGGAAGGTTGAGGACCACTGTTCTCAAACAATGATGCTGGCTGGGAATGGGAGGTGGCTGACTTTTCTTTCACCATAGTTACCCTTTGCTGGGGCGTCCCTGGGCAAGCTTCTGGAGACACAGAAACCGTGCTCTTGGGGTCAGTTCCGAGGCCTAGGACTGTGCACACTGGAGTACCACTCAGGCAGGCAGCAAAAAGCCAGCAAGGACCACTACCCCAAGGAACGGAGTCCACAGGGGAAGTGTGCTGAGTCTTAAAAACAAACTGCCTCTCTCAAATGCAGCCGCAGTGGTGCTCCATTGAGCCCAGGGAAGGTGGAAGATAAATTGGTGGACACAAGAGTGCTGGAGTTACAAGAGTGTTTGGAGAGAAAAGAAATGCAGGAGTCTCAATTTGAAGATAGATTGCTTAAAATTGAGCATGTCAGATGTGCATAAGTCTGATCATACCTAAAGTGCTCTGTGACTTCGCTTGGATTAACTCCCTTCATCTTCATAACTACCCGTTGTGGGGGCCACTGCCATCATTCCCCATTTGCACGAAGGAACCATCCATGCTGACTGAGACTTGAAATCATTCATTAGGGTGACAGCCGGCAGTGGAGGTCGGGATTCAACCCAAGCTGTCTCTCCAAGCCCAGGCTCTTAGCCACCACCTCATAGCATTTTAAAACACAAGTTTATGATAAGACTGTATGCTGGAGCCAGTTGGAGGCCACACTGTGCCGGGGCCTTCCTGTATGTAGCTCATTTACCTACACAGAATCCTAAAATCAGGTATCGCCACTTAGGCTTTCCAAAGGAAAATGCATCTGTCTGTTTGGGTTTTTGTTGGGGGTGGTGGTTGGTGGGTTTTGTTGTTGTTGTTTATTTGTTTGTTTTGGTTTCTCTGTGTAGCCCTGGCTGTCCTGGAACTCACTCTGTAGACCAGGCTGGCCTCGAACTCACAGAGATCCCCCTGCCTCTGCCTTCCAAGTGCTGGGATTAAGGGCGTGTGCCACCACCATTTGGCTTACTTCTATCTATCTCTTGTTGAGAGCTGATGCCTTGGCACCTACTCACCACTAACGACCATATTTTCAGCAGAGAATTGCTGAGATGGATGGACAGGGTGGCATCAGGCTTACCTGCCCACTGCCACCCAGCTTGCCTAGAATGTGGTACAGTGAATGGAATAGGACTCTCCGTGGCATATGCTTCCTGTCCTGCCCCTGGAGCACAGTCTGGCACATGGTGGATCCTCAATATTCAGGGAATGATCCAAGGTGTGGAGAAGCAAGTCTTAAATTCTGAGGCACTGGGATGGTGTTGAGGGTCTAAAATACAACACACTTGAGCCCGTGTGCTTACACCGTAGGCACCATCACGGTGAGCTGCTCAAATCCTCAGCCTCGACGGAAGGTCCAGACCCCAGCAAAACCCCGTCAGCCTCTGCAGGTGGGTGCTGACCCCTTGGTTCCAATGGGGGGATTCAGGTGAAGACTGATGAGCCAAAGGGGTTTGTCCAGCCCTCAGAATGGACAAGAACTTGAGACCTGCCTGGTAGTGTCTGAGGTCAGAAGGTCAGATTAGACAAACTCCACCTCACACCACTAATTGTGCTAATTTGAGATTTGCTGCCCAAAGAAGTTTAGCCACCCTGTGACTTGTGCTCGTGACATGAATTACAGCGAGGGCTACACAGGGCCAAGCTGGTGCTGGGGTCCTTTAAAACCCTTAGCCTTCTGAGTCTACAAGGAGAAAGTTTGGGTGAGAGCCTAACACTTCTTAGCAGCCACTCAGTGAGTTCCTCAAAGGAAGAAACAGTTTTAGGGGAGCTTGAAGTTCTCTTGGGTTAGCTTCTTAAGTTAGAAACCCACATCTCTACTTTTTCTTCTCCTGCTAGGTAGAGGCAAGTCCTGAGATTTCAGAGTATGCAAAGCCCTGGTGTCAAGGGTCAAAGATTACACACAGCAGAAGTACCATGAGTCTTGTTAGAAACAAGAATGGCCAGACCACACCCCAGACCTCCTGAGGGAAGGGCGCTGGGAGTCTGATGTTTAGTGATCACTCAGAAACTGCCGTGCCATCACTTTGAGACTGTATACTAGAATGAGAGTCTAAAAAGGAATTGCAGGGCCGCCATGTAATCCATACACGTAATATTTACTATACTCCTCTGGCCTGTCCTCCTTACCTGTGCGGGCTCCTCTGTTTCCAGCCCCAGATATGGACCGTGGACAGGATGCCCTCTTCGCATCATAGACATTCCTTTCTACAAAGTCCTACATAATGCTGGTGGACACTATGAGAGCCAGGCTCTGAGCTCAGGGGAGTGTAGGCACTCCATCAGCCCCCAGTCCATGCCTTGAGCTGGACACAGGCTGTGGGGTGGAGAGAAGTGCTGACATTAGTGTGAAAGGTTGCTGTGTGGAGGAGCAGACAGCTACACCCATGTGTACAGGACCAGTGGGCTGTGGAGATTAGAGCATTTCAAGGCAGAGATGCAGAGATGCACGAGCAGGAATGTGTCAGCATGGACATTGTAGACCTGGGATACATTAGGGACTCAGGAGAGAGGCAGGGGCAGCCAGAGGCAAGTGGGGATGGCATGCTGAACCATAGCTCTTGTATTGCCTCTCTGCAGATGCTCACAGAACCCATTCTGCCTCTGCTTGGTACCTACTCCTCCCCTTCAGAGGGGAGCATGTCCTGTGAGGCATTCAGAACCTATATTCCCAGTGAAGCCCAGCTGCTAAGTTTATGTGACTTCACCCTCTATCAGAACCTCCCACCCCATGTCAGTTCCCTGTTCATTTCCTGGGGGTTCCCATCTCTAATTGACCGTATGTCTGGGCTCTTTCTAAGCTCCACGTGCCTCAGGTTCCCAGATGTCGGAAGTGAAGGTGTGTGCCACCGAGTCTCTCTTTCCTTGTTGTTTGTACTGTGAAACCAGATCTCACGATGTAGCCCTGGCTTGTCCTCACAGAGAGCCACCTGACTCTGCCTTCCTTCCCAGTGATGAGATTAAAGGCGTGCACTCACATACCTGCTCCCCACCCCCATGTTAAAAACTGTTTTTATTAATTCTCAAGAATTCCATACTTTGTATTTTGAACATTTTTATCCCCTCACCCATCTCCTCCCAGAGCCACTCCCCCATTCTATACCCACCCAAATTTTTGTCCTCATTTTTTTAAACCCATGAAGTGGGGCTGAGCAGTTAAAAACACTCACTGTACTTGCAGAAGACTAGGGTTTGGTTCCCAGCACCCACATGGCTGCTCACAGCCATCTGTAACTCCAGTTTCAGAGGAAGTGATCCTTCTTCTGACCTCAGTAGACTCCTGCATACACATGGTACATATACATACACTTAGGCACATTCATGCACATAAAATAAAATATTTTTTGAAACATCAAGCCCATCTGTGCAGCCTGTGTACTCTTCAGTGTGTAGCCATCCATTGGAGCATCTTAGACTCACCAGGGGCCACACCCTTATAGACAACCAACTCTCTCTGTCAGTAGCTTCTCAGTTAGGCGTGGAACTGCGTGCGCATCAACCCCTCCATGCTGAGATGTGTCTGGCTTGAGCTTGCGCAGGACTTGTGCGTACCGTCACAATGCCTATGAGTTCATGTGTGCAGCTGCCCTGCTCTGTCTGGAAAATCCTGCGTGTTTGTAGTCATCCACTGCCTCTGGCTCTGACCGTCTTTCTGCTCCATCTTCCAAAATGATCCCTGAGTCTTGGAAGGAAGGGTGTGGTCATAGATACTCCATTTAAGGCTGTGCAAGCCACAGCCTCGTACTGTCTGCATCTTGACCAGTTGTGGGTCTCTGTGTTAACCACCATATTCTGCAGGAAGAAGCTCCTCTGATGAGGGTTGAGAGATCCACTAATCTAAGGGTGTAATGAGACATCATCAGGAATTGGTATAATGCTGGGTCCCATTAGTGGGGTAATAGGAATACGTTCTCTCCGAGGGCTCTCTGACCTGTCTACCACAGGTTCTTGGCCCAGTACCTGCCTAGCCACACACACACCCCTTTCCTTCTTACTTTTTATCGTGAGACAGGGTCTCACTAAGTTGCCCAAGCTGACCTTAAACTCTTGTATCCAAGGCAGGCCTTGAACTTGCAATCCCCCCTGCCTCAGCCTCTTGAATAGCTCAGATTGCAGGCCCATACCATCAGGTCTAGCCGGCACAGCTGTTTTTACAAAGGCAGAAAATAAAAGCAACTAAGAATTTAAATATAAAGGACCACTGAGTAAATGACACTGTATGCATCAAAAGAATCCGCATCAGAATTTCAGGGAGATGGGGAAACACTGAGGAAGTAGAAGAAGCATCATATAATAATACGTGTATAACTTCAGATAAGAGTGAGTCTGGTTCCCTGTTGTTGGTGTGTCTAAATCAATATGGAAACCTAAGAAAATGCACCAAAATGTTGATGGCTGTAGAGCCCAGAATCAGCCTGATGGGTTGCTGTTGTTGCTTTCAGTTTTCAACATTTACAGCTTCCATATGTTCCATCGTGAACACACATTTCACGTTCATCATCAGCAAAAGGCAAAAAACAAAAGCAAAAAAAAAATGAACATTTTAAAACAGGAAGGTGGGCTTTTCTCAGCAGAAGCTTAGGTTTTGATGGGATGGCACATATGTTACCCGGGACATGTTTATTTCTAAGGGCCACTTTGGGATCTGTGCATTTTATTGTGTGCTGTCACGGTCTGCGATGGCAGATCACATGCTGAGCTCAGCACTCATGGCATCAGATCTGGGCCTCACTGTCCCTTCTGTAACTGGCAGACCTCCTTGGACTCACTTGTCCTCATGGGGATTGCTGTGATGCTGGCTGCTGGGGGGACACACTGGAATAGGTGACACCCCAGGGCCTTTATCAGCAGCCTGTCTTCTGTCGGTAAGGGTGGTCCTGCCTTTGGCTGATAGGGCTGAGTCTGGTTCAGAGAACCCCCTTTCTGTAAAAACAGCAAGCACCCAACCTTGTGCCTATTTCACCAGGGATGGTTAGTTTGGGTGTTGACTATCAGGTCTCATTCCTGGATTCCTGTCTGGTGCCCTCGTATGTAGATCTCGCCTGGTGTGCTGGTTGGATGTCATCATGCATGGCTGTATTCATATATCACAGTTGACAGGCTTTCTCTCCACCTGTCCCTTCCTATAACTTCCATGGAACCTTTACTGTCCCCATCTTATAGCTGAAGAAATAGGCCCACAGGCAAGTCACTTTCCCAGGGTCCCAAGAAATCTGAAATTTCCACCCAGCACTGACAAGCCTTGAAATGCCATCAACTTAGGGCCACCAAACATCCAGGCTTTTAGGCTCTCTGGTGTTTTCCTTACAGCTTGCATAAATTTTGGCCCATCTGCTTTTCAAAGCCCATAACTATTCATCGTCAGAGTGGACTGCTCACCAGACACCCACAGACCTCCCACTCATGCCACTGTGTGACTGCTAGACGAGTCACACTGGCAGCCTTTATTCACTTTTCATTATTTATTTGGTGGGGGGTGGTGCCTGCATGTATGTCTGTACACCATGCACATGCTGTGCACACAGAGGCCGGAGGAGGGCTTTGGATCCCCCTAGAACTGGCATTACAGACAGTAGTGAGCCACCATGTGGGTGCTGGGAATTGAACCCTGGTCCTCTGGAAGAGCAGCAAGTGCTCTTAACTGCCGAGCCTCTTTCCGTCCTCCAGCCTTTATTCTTGAATTACACACTTTGGACCTGGACAGTTATTTGGTCTAAAACTTCTGTGGCATTTATATGAATGAGTTTGAAGGGGTTCTGTGAGGCCTGGACACAGCAGCTCGGAGTTGTGGCCTGAGGCACATGTAGTCATATGAGTTCATCGCTTCATTGTCTTGGCTCAGGGGATGGCAGGTACCTCCAACCTCATAGATGTGCCTTTGATTGAGGGGCAGAGATCAAATCCTTTCTAGTCCTTTCTAGTCCCAGCTCAAAGTGAATATCTTTTCTTACTGTCAATATTAATGAATCCGTGTCTAATGTGGAAGCCAAAATGTCAAAAAAATTCCCCCCAAAACCCACTAGAAGAATCTGGGGAGATGACCACACGCTTGCTGTGCCAGTGTGAGGACATACCTGTTCAAATCCTAACACCTATGTAAAAAGACAGGTGCAGCTATGTAGACCTGTAACCCGGACCATGGGGGTGAGAAATAGGAATATTGCTAGGGCTTGCTGCCTTCAAGCCTAGCTCAAAAGTGATGTGCTCCAGGCCATGCCTCAATGGAATAACGCAAAGAGAGCAATGGAGGAAGAATTCAATCTCTCTCTCTCTCTCTCTCTCTCTCTCTCTCTCTCTCTCTCTCTCTCTCTCTGTCTCTCTCTCTCTGTCTGTCTCTCTGTCTCTGTCTCTGTCTCTGTCTCTCTCTCTCTCTCTCTCTCTCTCTCTCTCTCTCTCTCACACACACACACACACACACACACACACACACACACACACACACACACACACACACTAAAGGGTGGAGCGTAGGAGAGACAAAGTGTCCCGTCTGTTCTCTGACCTGTAGAAACAGAGCGGATGTGCCCCAGGCCCCAGGAGATGCTGAAATCAAATGAGTATCATTGAACCAGTTGTTTGAAAGCCCAAACCCTGGTCTCTTACTTTCCTGCAGTGATTCAATAAATAAGAATTAAGCAAATCCTAACAGCTGCTGGAAAATACAAATCCATACCAAATTAGTAAAGCATAAGTTTCTGAATAATTTGTAGCACAATTTTATTGCTTTAGAAATCAGGAGATAATTCATACTTATTAGATGGATATTTCTGGGTAGAAGGATAGATAAGTGGATAAGTAAATGGATTAGTGGATGAATGAAAAGCAGTTAAAACATGTAACACTCTGTGCCAACCATGGTTCTGACTGTCTCATTTGATGAACTGATTCAGTGCTAAAATAACCCCACAAGGTGAGCACTACTAACATGCTCATTTGAAGTTGAGGTCACAGGAGCCACCAAATAGAACCGGAACCGAGCCTGAGACATCTGGGGCTGTCTGTGTGGTCACTGAGAGCCTTGTGTGCACAGTCAAAGCATGTTCCAATGTCGTTGACTAGACCAGTGTTCTGAGGCTACAGCATTGGAAAAAAGGAAAAGTCTCTTTGTATGATGATATCTGCTGCTGTGAACAGTCCCCTGGCCTGTCGTCTCTTGTAGGTGAGAATTCTTTATACACCATGGTGTCGTGTGTGTGTGTGTGTGTGTGTGTGTGTGTGTGTGTCCTGGTGTGGCAGCCCAGAATCTCTTCCTTACCAAGTCTTCAGGGTGACACAGATGGAAGGCCAGCCTTTGCCATCTTCTGAAATCAGTTTCCAGAAGTACCAGGGACACAGAGTGTGCTTCTAGCATGGACTGGCTTTCCTGTTCAGATTAGTCAACTCCAGAGGAATGGTGTCAGCATGTCAGCTAACCCCCTCCTTCTCTAGTGCTCCCGGGCTTCCTGTTCGTGGCGCGCATGCAGATTCTCACCAGTAGGCGGCAGCAGAACCTAGCCGCTACAGATGCCCCACCTGGAGGCTAGTTGCCGGTTTGTGTTCTGGCTTCCCAACTGAGGACATGAGCTCTCTCTAGCCTCTCTGTGCCTTGGTTTCTCCCCTGCAAAGTGGGCAAACCTCATAAATTTATTCTGAGGGTCACATGTTACTACACGCATTGTGTCTAGTAACAGTACCATACTAAGAACCTCAAAACATTTGTAACAGTAGGTGTTCTGCTAGAATAAAGTCTTCAGGACTGCCACACCAGCTGTCCTAGAGCTTTGTCATATTCCAACCAAAAGTGAAAAGGCCACCCGCTGGGATCTTAGAGACCTTTTAGTCATCCAGAGACCTTGTTAATGATGAAATGTCGTGAGGTTTTATATGAAAATAATAAGTCCTCAGGACTTAGAATAACAAGGGCTGAAATGGATGTTGGGGTGGTGAACTGTACAACACTCACAGCTTCTTGATCTTGGGACTTTAAATAAAAATCTCACTTCTCATCAGATAATGGACTTCTCTCTACGCTGGTCCAGAGCAACCATAGACGGACTTTTGTAGTAGCACTGAGTACTGAAAGGCAAATTTTTTTTCCTTGGCTTGACACTTTGCCAATAGTAAACAAAAGCTATGTTGCTGAAATCAAGACTTACCATTGTAAGTCAAGTCACTTCAGAATCCTGTAACTTTGCTGGGATCCGCCCTTGTTTTGCAGCACTGCCCGAGCTGAAACTCCTCTGTGGAGCAGATGTCCTGAAGACCTTCCAGACCCCCAACCTCTGGAAAGACGAGCACATTCAGGAGATCGTGGAGACGTTCGGCTTGGTGTGTGTGAGCCGGGGCGGTCATGACCCGAAAGGGTACATCTTGGACTCGCCTATCCTCCGACAGTTCCAGCACAACATCCACCTGGCCAGGGAACCCATTCAGAATGAGATCAGTGCCACGTACATCAGGAAAGCCTTGGGCCAAGGGCTGAGTGTGAAGTACCTCCTCCCTGATGCTGTCATCAACTACATCAGGGACCATAGCCTCTACATCGGTGACAGTTCCTGGAAAGGAAGAGGAAGGAGTAGCTAGAAGGCCTCCGAGAGTGGGCAGTTCAGGGCTTTGTTTTGTTTTGGGGTCTGTTTCCCTTTCTGTTTGTTTTGTTTCTGTGGTGGCAATGCCATTGGTGACTTCCTTCCCCAACAGACTGTTCCCATGACTGGATAGTTGTGTATCAGAGCAATTTAAATGGCGTGGCAGGTCATCTGATTAGACAAAACCTCTCAGAGCCACTGATGAGGAGACCGGTTTACTTTGTGTAAATGGTAATTATAGGATGTACACTGATGTTATTCTGAACATAGCAGGCCCCTGAGGGGTCAGATCATAGTTGCCCTCATTCTTTTTTTTTTTTTTTTTTTAAACTCAGACCAGGTGCATTATGCTGGTCTTGATTGGAAGGATTTGACAGGTTGCTAATTACTGAACAGGGGCCTTTGCAACGTCCTTGTTTCAAACAGAATAATACCATGTGAGGATTCAGAAATCTGGAAACAGTACATCATGATTTCCAGTGTATTCTCCCTTACAAACAATTGCCTGCCTGCCTGCCTGCCTATGGTATAGCATAAAAAATTTTGACCACACTCTTTCTATGTTATAGTCAAGAAATATGTGTAAGATTTAGTAGGGGGGGGCAGGGCAAATGCATGTGAGAGGAAATCAGAGGACCTCAGAGTTCCTGAAACTGGAGTTATAGGCAGTTGTGAGCCACCTGATGTATGGAAGAGCAGCAAATGCTCTTAACCACTGAGCCATCTCTCCAGCCCCGTCAAGCAATATTTTTGATACAGCAAGTATTTTTACACTGCTATACTCTAAACACCAGGGTTCCCGATATCCTGATTTCTAAAAAGGAACTCAAGTAAAACAGATGCCTGGCTGTTTTAGAAGATCTGTTGAATGTTTTATGACTGCCTGACTGTTTGAATATTGGCAAAAGGATAAATAATAAATTGACATCAAAAAGTACTAATGAAAAGTTTCTCTTTTTTCCTTTGTTATTTTATTAATGCCCGGTGTTCCAGCTGTTGCTCTTCTTTTTAGCTGCTCTGAAATTTGTTCCTGTTCCGATCGAAGTGGTATGAATTCAAGTTTGTGTCCTGAGTACTAGAAGTAGAGGAGTGTCTTAAACAGATTAACAGCCTGGAGTCACCAGAAGAGCATCTCAATTGAAGGGTTATCCAACTCAGAATTTGGCCTGAGGACATCAAGAAGCTGCAGTGTCCAAAGGAGCTTCTTTCAGAGAAGACCAGTGGGAGGTCCCCTACCATGCATGAAGTCATGTTCATTCTGGGGCACACAGTGCCATTGCATAGGAATTGGAACACCCCACCCCTGACTCCCAGGCACCCCTGCTTTCATTCTTCCCTCTCTCGTACTCACGGTGTCTTTCCGGACTAAGTGTTTACAGCTGAGGTCTCCATCACAGCCCAGCCTTCTCTGTGGGCATCCAGGGCCTGCCAGGTGGAGGCTCACTGCTGGGAGTTGGTTATTTCCTTGTTGTTATTGAACTTTAGGATTCATTTATTCAAATCACAGTTATTGAGGTCCTTGCATGGGCCAGGGGTATAATGGCGAACAGACAGGGTCTCCATCCATAAAAGCTCATAGCACGGTGAAGAGCAGACAAGAAGCCAACGCTGATGAGGGCTCTGAAAGTGACACTGACAAGCTGACGGCCAGAGGCAGTGGGTTCTCTCTAAAGCTGATGAAGCTTGCGCGTTGACTTCCCTCTTTCCCACATCCTAATTATATAGGTATCTGAGTTCCTGATTCTTGGTCCTTTTTCTGAAAGGGGTCCCTTTGAACTTGTGCCAGGTATAGACTCTCATAAAGTAATTTTCCCTGATGGTGTAGACAGCAGAGAAATGCTAATGGATGTGTTACAGAGACTTTGGGATGGATGGAGGCAAATGGCCTTGACGACAAATGGCATATACAAAGGCCCTGAGGCAGAGGGGGCAACGTGGGCACCATGGAGAGCTAGAGTCATCATTACCTCCTTCACAAGGTGCCGGTTACTACACTGCACCTGACAGCAGGTGCCCTGCATGCCAGTCTCCCTTCCCAGCCTTTCCATAGGTTTAATAGCCTTTGAGGGCATGCCTCCATCTCCCTGATCCACGTCTGTGTCATGTAGTTCCCACCAAACATCAACTATTTCCATAAGAAAGCACAGCAAGACCTATGCTTTGTATATATACGTATTATGTATGTGTACACATACACTCACATATATCTTAATTTCTGTCACCTGCCTGGCTCACTGATTCATGTCACCCTCCCTTAGTAGCAGAAGGGAAACTGTGTCTCACTGCTCTGCCCCGATGCATTTCCTGGCACCACTCTGTGTACGGATTTCACATCCCTCTCTCCTCCCTCAGGTGTCCTCTGCATCTTGATACCTGGTTATTCTGTTTCTTTTGCAAGAACAGAAAAACAGTGATTCAGGCCCCTGGGTAAATAGAATTTCCAGCCTTAAATAAAGGATCTCCTAGGACACTATTCGACACCCAAATGAGAGCAGTGCTGTATCCTTGCCTGGGGAAAGAAATTCTCATTTCTAATACTGTCTGTGTCACTTGGGACAGAATGATGTGAAATCCCATTTCAACCCAATAGAGCTTGAGCTTTGCGAGGCACGTTTGGTAATTGGGTTAATACATGAATATGTATTTCCTTAGCCTCATCCTCACATTCTGTGCTGCCCCAGCCATTTGTAGAGGTCTTCATACATCATGGTACCCAGTGTCAGTCTAAAGTTATTTTCTTAGCCCCAAACCTGACATTATAGATGCAAATATGAGTGACTGATAAATATATCTCTGTAGTGAGTCACATAGGCACATGCCTTTGAATAGTTTAGTATTGTTTAAATAACTTGACCAAACATTGCTCTTGACAGCACAGGCTGCAGGGACCATGAGAGGGACCCTAGAGTTCCCTGGGACTCGTGTTTCCGAATTAGCAAACGCTGAGTGAGCGGGAGTTGGAGCGGGAACAATAGTATGCTCTTGGTCAGGCTTGGGAAGCCCTTCCTCACCTCCTGTTGGAAATGAAATGGGCCTCGTGTCCTGTTGATTCCACCTTCTGTGTGTGCATCCTTCATGTCACCTCCTGCTCTAGTTTCTTTCCTGTTGCTGTGATAAACACTGTGATCAAAAGCAGGTTAGGGGAGCAGAGGGTTTATTTCATCCTGTGCCTACAAATGGCAGCCCATCGTGATGGAGTCAGGAAGGAAGTCAAGGCAAGAACCCAGAGGTAAGACCGCTATTCTCTACAGCTTTAATTCTGACAAGTGAATGAACTCACAGCCCACAGAGTACACTGCAGGAGCCAGGGGGGCTCGCTGCCTGGCTTTCTGTCATGCTCATACTTAGCTAGCTGTCTTATACAGCCTGAGGAATAGCACCCCACACACACAGTGTGCTGGGCCTTCTTCATCAGCGAGGACAATAAGATAATCCTTCATAGACATGCCCTCGGACCATACTCAGCTACACAGTTCTTCTGTTAAGGCTTCTCTTAGATAACTCTAGGCTGTGTCAAGTTGGCAAGGCCAACCAAGACAACTAAAGACATCTAAAGCATTGTCAGCTCTTACCTTGACCAATGCAGTGACCTAGTGGAGTGTCTCATCCTACAGTCAGTTCTTCACCTAGAGAGTAAGTGCACATGCACATCCATGCATACATGTTCAAATATAGTCATATTCCCTACTGGTGTTCCTTCTGGAAGAAGCCATTAAGAAAAAGAAAGATAGCTGGGCGGTGGTGGCACACGCCTTTAATCCCAGCACTCAGAAGGCAGAGCCAGATCTCTGTGAGTTCGAGAGCAGCCTGCTCTACAGAGCGAGATCCAGGACAGACACCAAAACTACACAGAGAAACCCTGTCTCAAATAAATTTTTAAAAAAAGAAAGAAAAAAATAGAGAAACCACAGACTAGGGGGAAACATTTGCCAGATTGCCAGATGTGTGTATCTGATGTATGTATCTAATAAATGAATTGCTTCCAAAATGTGTCAAGAACTCTAAAAACAAAATAACAGAATCAAATTAAAGGTGATCCAAAGAGTTATGTGCTAGAAAGGGTAAAGCTTTCCAGACTGCTAATGTTGCTGGTCAGAGGGTCTGCTGGTGAGGCTGATCTTGCTTTGCATCCAAGAACTCACCTCGCACAATGTTGCCTGTGTTTCTAACTGGTTGGCTTTTGTCTCTTCTTGGGATACTGAAGATATCCCTGCTACAATGTTGCCTGTGTTTCTAACTGGTTGGCTTTTGTCTCTTCTTGGGATACTGAAGATATCCCTGCTATACCACCCTGCCTGGGATGTTCATACAATGCCATTTATGGAATTTCGGTCGCCATGACTGGTTGTGTCCCAGAGATGACTATATCACCAACCCCTGAAGCCTGACTCCTTCAAACAGATCATCTGAAGTGGAACACCCACAAGACACCTTACCAATGACAAGTAGTCACATGAAAAGGTGCTCAACACCATTAGATATTGGAAAAATCCAAACCTAAACCAGAATGAGATGTAGCTGGAGTTTTCTCCAGTCCCGCTCGGGCCCCCACAGTTCCACAGCCCACTTATAAAATAATCACTCAGAAGCTCATATTAGTTAAAATTGCTCGGCTGTTAGCTCAGGCTAACTATTGACTAGCTCTTACATCTTAAATTAACCCATTTCTATAAATGTATAACTTGCCACATGGCTCGTGGCTTACTGGTATCTTACATCTTGTTTCTCATGGTGGCAGCTGGCAGCGTTTCCTCACTCGGCCTTCCTGTTCCCAGAATTCTCCTTGCTCTTTGTCCCGCCTATACTTCCTGCCTGGCTACTGACCAATCAGCACTTTATTTATTAACCAATCAGAGCAACACATTCACAGCATACAGATATCCACAGCACTTCCCCCTTTTTTTTCAAAAAGGAAGGTTTTAACTTTAACACAGTAAAATTACATAAACAAAACAATTATCAAGCAAGAATTACAATTACAATATCTAGTTTATTTATAATATCTAGTCTATTTGTATTTGGCAAAACTAAAGAATATATCCTATCTATCCTATATTTGTGAGTCTAAGATTTCATATTTGACTTATCTTTTATCATAACTAAGGAAATTAAAACTATATAGTCTTCAACTACATTAAAGACCTCAGAAGGATATAATATTACCTGAGAAATGGGAGAAGGATGCAAGCAACTTTCGGGAGTCTTGCAAGAGTAGACAGAGACAGCTGGCAGCCTGGACAGTCATCCAAAATTCCTCTGTAAAGATGGGGCATCTGTCTTTAGCCCACAGGCCTGGAGTCTCTCAGTCACTTTTTTCTATGTCCTGGAGAATGTCTGGCAGTTTCCTCTGCGAAGCAGGAACCTGAAGGACCATTTTGACAATCAAAGTTCAGTGGTCACCTTCCTATGGGTCCTGCATGTCCAGTTGATCAAGCAGTCCCAGTTTCTTGCCCAAATGGCTATTTTTGCCAAGAAGAAGATAAACTCCATACGGAGTGTCTTCAATGTCCATCCTTCTCTCTGAAGCAAACTGGTGCTGCCAGGAGCAGACATGTCTCATTATCCAGAAAGTCTAAATTTTTAAAAATATTTTAAATGCCATATTCTGTAGGTCTTTGAAGTGTTTGAAGATTACATACCTAATTGAATTATATCTATGTGTACCTAGAAAACTTAACATGACTGTAAGTTTGCCTATCATAGAAGACTAATTATTAATCTGTATTTTTAATTATCCATTACAATCTAAATGAGTTACATAAACATAATACCTCAAACTAGAGTAGAAATATATATATATGAACAAAATCAACTCTAAATTTGTATCAATAAACTAAAATCTATGTAGATATCCACAGCAATGAGACATCATGTCACACCTACTAGAAGGGCTAAAGTCAGCCCAGCAATTCTACTTCTAGGAATCTACCCTAGAGA